CATTTATTAAATTTAAAAAATGCATTTCCAAGATGGTGGTCCTATACGGTTTTATCCTCCTTAAAACAATATCAATACCAATCACTTAAAATTGTATAGTACAAAAAGGTAAGTTAGCTTTCTTGTCAAATTTTATCAATTTTAGCCTACATATGAAAAATCAAAATAAGTTGAGCAGCAATTACCATGCGACCTTACCCCTCCCCCCCCCCGTAAAACAATCCTTCTTCCCTTCATCGGTTACCATTTTAAAGCAATATATTCGAGAGGAATTTGATCAATAAAAGGAGAATAGTTACTATTATGCTTTTGACCGAAGAAAAAAAGCTTTTTCTTTTAGTTAATTCTCTAGGAAGGATATCAGGAAAATGCCTAAATCATCGATTAACACTTTTAGAAATATTTAAATTTTATAAGGATATTTCATGAACTAATCAAAAAGTAAGAAATAATTTCGTTTTTTTTTTTGATTGAAATTACATCGATTTCATTCTAATGCTTCTTTCCCTAAAATATCAAACCTGTAAGATAATATACAAACACATAAAAATATACTTTCCTACTAATCTTTACTCAACTATTTTAGTTGGAACATAGAATATTAGAAATGGACAAATCAATAAAGGATATATAGGATTTAAATTATTGATCTACATTCTAATTGTTACATACAAAAAGCGCTCATTCTATCATCATAGAAATCAATATCAATTGTAAAAATTAATCTAACATTATTATAAACTATTCCAAAAAGAATTCCCAATTTCAATCATTATTTTCAGAGTAGAATAGCGCACAATTAAACAACATGAATATAAAGGATAAATGAATTTGGCGCAAATTGGTAAATTGATCGTATTGCAACAAAAAATCAGTCAATTAGATTATAAACGATGAAGAAAAAAGAAAAAAAAAAGAAGACAAGTTATCGTGGCATCACAGAACAATGTGCATTTCCTCTCATTACACTTGGTAACGAACAGCATTTTCAACTGGAAAATGCGAAATAGACACTCCAAAATAAATGTCGAAGGGTTGGCCGCCTCTTCACGCATACACACACACACACACACACACATACACATACATACATACATACATACACATACACATACACACATACACATATATATATATATATATTTAAAAGATATATATATAGACGGAAGTGAACCGTTGTTGAGAGCTGTGCTGTTGGTAAGGATGAGTTGATGATGCTGGCTCATCTCCTCTTCGTTATACCCCGATAATCTGTCTTCTTTTTCGAACCATTCAACCCTTCTCTCAAACCAAAATCAACCAACCAACCAAACCAATCCACTACCACATACACCATACACACCATACATCATACACCACATACACACATCCATTACCATTACTACTTGATATACTAACAACGTCCACCAATTTCAGCATTATTCCACATCACTAATATCGATACCAATAGTTACTTACCAATAATATTTCTACTATAAACAAAATTTCAATTTCGATTTATCATATATCACATTAGCTCTAAATCATCCATCATATATTCATCCCATATTACTACATTATCAACGATAACAAATGTCATTTTCATAGAAGCGATTTACATTCTTAATATTCATTGATTAGCTATAACTTAACTTACTTCCCATTTCTTTTAGCATTTGAGTTAATCAAAAAGCTAATCTTATAAGCAGATGAAATTTCAAGTCTTACAACTTACGACTACAGATAGCAGTTGTCCAAGAATAATCTCAACACATTTCTTATCATCAATGTAATGGACAAATGCGCTACATTAGAATAGTCAAATAATTCACAATATGTGCTAAAAGCTTTACATCAATTGATCTCTTTTTATAGCAATTAAAATTCCATGTCTTCATAGCTAATATGTAATAGTCGGACGATATGCTTACCATCATAGGTGACATATCGTAGAAGAAGAAAAAAAAAGAAACAACAATCATTCACAAGAAAGTTATTGATGAAAAGTAACTAAATGAACGAAATGATATCGCATAAGTTATAAATGATAAATGTGGAATAATTATGAAAAGAACAAAAAAAAAAAATAGAACGATAATGATATATGACATAAGAAATAAATAATAGTAGTTCGATGGAAGTGTAAATGAAGAATACAACTGATAAGAATGATTTGGAAATGATTTGGATGAAATCATCATCAAAATGACAACAAACAATGAATAATCAATAGTTCTTGATGAATCAAGAATGAAAAATGTTTGTTGAAAAACAAATCGACATGATACCAATATGCTTACAATTTATCTGCCAATGATAAGACTCTAAATTAAAGTGTTATCTATCAAATTGATCTTATGTAATATTCTTCTTTGACTCAAAAAATGCCACATTATGAAAAAAAAAGCATTAACCATTTTGCTTTAATGTCCTAACTGTTATCGTATTTACAAAATCATACAATCCTAACTACATACTGATTACAATAAAGTGCAGCAAAATTTAGCAGTGTCATCTTTCGATTAGCAATGTTAGCCGGAATTCATATTCTTGGATTATTAAAATTTAATGAATACAGTAGGCTTGAAATCTATAATTTTATGAATCCTATAATCACTTATCTTTTTCTTTCCTAGTTATTTTGAATTTCTCACACTACTACTCTAACTATAAATATGAGTAAAATTTGACAAAGTAAATTCAGATGAACTGAATTGATATATTTTCCATTTTCCATTTATTATTTACTAACATCATTCTTTTTTTTTTCTGTTTTAATTCATTAAAAACTTACTGTAAAAGAATAATAAACAAATATTTCATAGGAACACTTCAAATTTTCGCAAACAACACAACAAATTGGGACTTTTAGTAGCATCTAATTTTTTGGTTCACAGTCATCAATTCATCAATCAATAATGGTGCTGTTGAAAATGAAATCAATAATGATAACGAGTAGCTTTCTCCAATTACTCAATTCATTCACTTCATCGATGAAAGGAAGGAGGAGGAGGAGGAGGAAGAGGAGGAAGAAGAGTAGTTTGCTGTATGGTAAATAAAGGCCAAAAATTAGTTAGCAGTTGCTGTAGTTTAAATTGCTCATCAAATCATTTGTCATGAAGAGATGAAAGTGAACGTTACCCGATAACAAATGCTTTCATACAATATAAATTCCCTCTTCTACCTACATCACATACATACATACACACACATACACAAACACACACACACACACACATCCATCTACATGGTTAGGTAATCATTCGAACCAAACGATTACAATCTTCAAATCAGATCATAACTGTCTTGAATATCCATGATTTGTTTCATAGATTACATCCAAAATCAATTGTCAACTAAACGAAGTGAAGTTATCATTTTCAAACTTATTTCTTATTGCAAAATACTTCTGTAACATTATGTGTTACAGAAAATCCTGTAGAATAATGATTAAGAGTAAGAAAGAAGATAAAACATAATGAAATACGGATAAGAAGTTTTAGTTGAATAAATTATTAAATGATATAATTGTAGAATTCAAATATGTTTAAATTTAAGTTATAACCTTATCTTTCAATCAATTAATCAATCAATCAATCAATCAATAACTATAATCTATTAGTATGATCAAAATATTGGAAAGGATAGAGATAATGATATTTGTAATTTGTTACACAGATAATAAAACTATTATTAAGTAAACCTTTTAATGAAATTAAACTTATTTCAAGGAAATAAAAAATAAAACAAAACGTAACGATGCTACGATCAACATTATATTAATATTAGATTGTTTGAATAATCTAAATAGAAAAAGATCACAAGAAAAATATCAAATACAAATCAATCATTTACTTCAAACCTATTCAAATGTATATCTAATTTAAAACTTGAGATCATTTAATAATTAAAATATCTCATACATCTATCGAATAATGAAACAAATGGTATAAGCAAAAAATAATCATCATTGAGAATATCGATATATTCTCAGCATTAAACAAATCAATCAATGATTAATGAAATTAACTTCAGAATAGCACCTGTCGTTTGTATGCTATAGAACGATAATGATTAACGAATAGATCAGTCATCTGACATGAACAGGTATAGCTTTCTCCCTCTCTCCCTCTCTCTCTC